ATTATTGTGGCTGTTTACTACCCAATAAACTGGCACTATAGATGCAAGCATTTGAAGACGTATGGTTACATCAAATTGACGCGTTGTCGCGTCAAAAATATCGTAACGACATAGGTCATAGGTCATAATATCTGACATTTGCCGTAATTTAGTTATGACAATATAAAAAGTTACGGCAATACAAAAATGTTACAACACTATAAAGTTACGATATTATAGAAAAATAGAAATTACGCAATAAAAATAGTTATATTAAACAGCTTTTTGATTTAATTATTGATCGATCCAAGAACTTATCTCAATAACTTATATACTAATAACAACACAGTGGGCTTTCATTGTGATTTGCCAATTTTTGCAGATCATCTAGTGATATAGTAAAAATTTTATTGGTTAATCGAAATTAGTCGAAGTTCTAAACTTTAATTAAATCGTAACGAAGAACTGTTATATATAAAAATTACTAGATCTATAATAAAATTAATGTCGTAGCTGAAGCTGAAAATGGCTGAAGCTGGAAATTAGAGGTCTCGATTTAAAACTATAAGCCCTGCTAAAATCCAACTATACTCTTTTATTATAAACCCTAACCCTAAATTCTAATCTAACTATAAAAAAAAATCGTACAAAATGCATTCCAAAATTTTTTGTAAATTTCATATTAAAATATTTAAAATTTCCAGTTTCAGCCATTTCCAGCTTCAGCCACGACAATTAATATTAGCAGAAGTCTTTGTCATAAAATCTTGATAACTTAAATCTAAAACTATAATCTTGTTGCAGACAAAATTCTGTCAAACCAAAATTTTATTAAAGAAATAATTCTAATTTAATACAATCAAAAAAGAAAAAAAAATGATCCAAAAACAAACAAAAATCAAAAAGTACAAGAAATAAATACTTGAACTCATTCTAGAAACTAATGGCTAACAAAAAATAATAAAAAATAACTTAGTGACCACTCCAATATTAAACTGATCTTTAATTTTATTTACTGTATAAACATTATACAGTTAAAGTATAACTACTTCACTTTAACTCTTCTCATTAAATCTATAAGCCTTATGACCTCAACTTCATATTCTTAACCTATATTATAGTTAAGTTTCTATATTAGTTGAGATTACGAAGAATAAGTTTTCACAAAATGCGTACAAGCCAGCTTAAATTGCCAAGTTTAATTAATTCCTTGTACCTATAAGTTAAACTTAAACGTTCAAACTTACCTCTTATCTAACTTCTGAATTACTTCACAGATTATCAAATTATTTTGACAGTTTATAGGCCAGAAGATATTATTTCAAATTTTTTTGGTATTGAGTTTGGCCAATTTGTATCTGTGGCTGCCAAACCATTTTTGTAACTGCAAAACATTATGCCACTATGTAGAACATCTTGTATAATATTTTGTATCGATCATCCAATTAAAATAAAGCCCGCTAGGGTATTTGGTCGATTAATTAAATCAAACCTATTTGAAGACCCATATCAAAATCATATAAAAAGATTTTTAAATAATATAATTGGCTATTTATCATATGAATAATTTTATATATGACTAGCTATTTATCATGTGTATCATATGGATAATAATAATCATATAATGATAATAAAAAAAAAATTAATTTTGAAATATTTTATTAAACATATCTAAGGCCATACAAACTTAATAAATTGGTTCTCATAACTGGTCAGGTCAAAATTTACAAAACTCTAAAAAAAATTTTCAAGTATACTTACTATCCGGGTAAGTTTTTAAAAAAATCTATAAAAAATTTTATATATTTTTTATATAAAAATTTTTTGAAAATAAAATTAAAAGCCAGGTTGCCAGGTCACTTTTAAAAATTTTATGTTATGAGAACTGATTTATTAAGTTTGTATAGCCTAATATTTTCTGCATACCAAAATTTTCTACTACTATATTGATCTCTTTTTTCTTTTTATTATTTTGCTGAATGTTAACTAACCCATTTTTAATATCTTCTTTTGAAAAATTTATTCCAAAAAGCCATAGTTTAGATTCCTTAAGACTTGGCAACATATTTGGGTAAGTTTTCAAATCCAGTTTGTTAAATATATCTTCAACCTGCTGCTAATATACAATTATGTAATAAATTTTAGTAGTTATAAATTCATAAAGTAGCAGGTAATCAAATACGTTAAGGTTAGATGCATTGCAGAAGTTGTAGAATTGTTCATGAAAGTTTGAATCTGAAACAAAGAATGTTTTTAACCCAAAATCATTTAAATTATTATTTTTAATATCATCTTCTAGTTGTTTTATATATGTTGTTTCTTTTTTGGATAGCTGAAAGATTGTTGGTAGATTTAAAATAGTATAATGATAACTTCTTGCAAAAGAATGTACAAAATTTCCTCCTAATCAACAGACTGATAAAGGTTATTTAAGCTATTGAAATATCTATTTTTGAAAATATATTATTGCTTTTTTCATGCCTTTTTATAATAAATCAAATATGTCACCAAATTCTAATTTGTTTAATAATTCAAGTGTTTTAAGCAATTCTTCAGAAAAAAATACATCAAAATTATTTGTAGTCTCTGTTAAAAAATAAATCTATTCTAAAACTTTGTTAGGCATTTCATGAGCTTGCTAACCAGGAGGTAAATTTATCCAGTCTTCACCATTGAAAATTCGAGATACAGGATCTTGAGCAGTAAGAAATGTCATTAAAAAAATGAAAAAATGTTGACCAAATTTTGTTAGACATTTCAATTAAATATTAAGCTTTTTGTCATTAAGCCAGGTATAGAAAAGATACCAATTATTCAAATAAGATAGTGCTATATTAAAATAATTTTCTAATACTTTAATAAACCATTCTGTAAATTGAAGATGTGACTTCCTTCTCTCTAAATATTATTTAGCAGCATGCAATTCATAATCCCAATGGGTTTGTAATAGTATTTGATATTTGGAATAATAATATCTGAAAAAAGATTTATATAGATCCTGAATATCTTCACTTTTTATATTTATTAGTGTATTACTGTTTTTATTTCTATAGCTATTGTGAAGATACCAAGTGAGGTATAGAAGAATGTGGCTTTCTTGAAAATCCTGATATATATCCAAAAGCTACATTTTCAAAATTTGTGAAAACAATATTAATTATATGTAATATATATCCGATTCGAACTAAATTAGAGTTTGCCAATATGTTAAATTTAATGATAGCCCTATTTGCATTTCCAGACATGTATGCAGTATTGTCAGTAAGCTATGTCATATATTTTCATATATCAAGTTGATATTGTTAGCAAGTATCAAAAACTGAAGTTGCAATCATATCTGTATTGCATTTTTTTATAATTTTTAAATTAACAATACTTGCTGTTAGATAATTTTTATCTTTATCCCAATACATGAAACAAATTACTAAATTTTTGTCTTACCCACGAGTTGATTCATCTGCAGTAATACTGAATACACTTGTTCATTGAACACATTTAGCTACATTAGAAACTACTAATTCTAAAATTTGTTTATACCAAGTTGTAATTCGTTCTATTGAAAGCCAACTTGTTGGTAATTTACCTATTAGAACTCATATATTAATTTTGTGTATTCTATAGTTGTATGCATTAAAACCTGACCAATTTGTGTTAATTTAGTTGTAAGCCAAATCATATCTGGTAAGTAGTATCTATCATTAGATTTAAAAAGAGCCTTAATTTGTTTTTTAAAGTCTACTGAAGATATTGTTTTAGATTTATGGACTAAATAATGTATTTCAGATATTTGATATGATGCTTTTTGTTGTTTAAAAATTTTGAGATCCAAGCAATTTAGTTTTTGTAATAAGGGTTTAAATTTTTTTTATTTAATTGTTTATTTTAATGCCACAGATAATTACACTCTTCTTTTTAGGCAGAATAACTTTTTTGTAGCTGATAAAGAGAATTAGAAAGTATTTCAACCAATTGCTGCTGCAAATATTGAGATATAATTTTTTTTTTATTTTTGCCTTGCAGATATCTCATATTTTTTAGCAAATTTATTGCATCTACTTTTTTATCATCATCTAAGCTATCAATAAGTTCAATAAGCTGCTTATTGAATTGTAAAGTTTCTAACTCTTCTTCTTTATCTAAGCTATTCATAGGTTCAATAAGCTGTTTATTAGAATTTGGAGTTTCTAATATATATATTTTTTTTAATACTACTTATAAACTCTAGAACATTATTGAAATTTTTATCAAGGTATTGAAAAGTATCTATGAATTTCTTAAGTCTTTTGGTTTTCTCACAATTAGCAGTTAGTTGTATTATTTAAATATATTTTTTTGAAAATTTTGGCATGGTGATTAAATATAGCAAATGTTTTTGGCTTGAATTTATTTAAGTATATGGCTCTGTTAATATGTAATTTTTTTGAGTAGATATCAAATACATATATGGTTCTTTTAATGCATAGTTTTTTGAGTGGATAGCAAATATTAAAATGTTATTTTTATAATAAATAAAATTTTAAAGACAATAATGTTTAACAATTGCAAGCTAAAATAAATTATAATATTATTATATATTTAAATTTACAGATACAAAGTCATAAAAATTTAATAATTATATAAAGATTATATGAACTAAATAATTAAAATCGTGCAAATATATAAAGATTATATGAACTAAATAATTAAAGTTATGCAAATTGGATACTTGAACATTAGATTATGCAAATTGGACAATTGAATATTAGATTACATGAATTGGACAATTAGATATAAGATCACGCAAATTGAACAATTGAATGTAGAATTGTATGAATTAGACATTAGACATAAAGAATTTATAAATTAGACAATTATAGGATAAAGCAAAATTAGACAATTAAATTATACTAATTAGGTAATTGAATATAAAACTGCACAGAATAAGTATTAATATCGAGGCAGTTTTTGTCTTGAGTCTATACATAGTTATAGTTAAATAGATAATTAATTAGCAATATAATTTGAAATGAGATAAGAATTATGATTAGTATTAGTAAATCGAATTAGTAATAAGTTAAATTAAATTAATTGTAGTATTATCATATAGTAATAGTTCAAATAAATAGCAATTTGGTCTAATTTGTTGACCCTACCTGCTACACTGAAATTAAAGTTTTAGCTAATTGATTAGTTTAACAATTATCAAAAAATCAAGAGGTAACTTATATAAATTGTTATTAGATGACTTGTCAGGTTTTACTAACTTGCATGGTAGACAAGTACAGTATATATATATACAAATTTATACTATCAGACAATATTCATTTGGAGATTTAACTAAAAATTTGATATAAAACTCTATCATATTATTACAAGTGCATAGCCTTCTTAATATATACAAGCAACACAAGATATAGCTATAGAATAGATATTGTCAATACAATATATAGCGATGTCCAAGTAGAATAGTTCCTCGCTAGGGCAGTTCAGGATAATGTAAGTATGTATTTAAAGAGCAAAGAGATATATTTTATTAACGATACAATATTATGTTTACAAGGTCAATTGGATGTCTAGATGAAAAAACCTAACATCTAGAGGGGAAAAAGCTAGGGTTTATATATCTTTTACAAATATTTGAAAGTAATGTTAAAAGGTAATTGGTAAGCGGTAAAAGGTAAATAGTAAAGGTAAATGGTAAATAGTTAAGATAAATAGTAAGAGGAAGAGTATGCTATCTACTTTGCTACGCTATTCCACTATATAAATTTATACTAATACAATAATAAAATAATAATAATAATATAATAAGATAATATATATAAAGAATTTAACTAAAACTTATTCTATAACATTTCTGTCCCCTTTAAGAATGAACTTCGTGAATTCCTACTTCTTCAAGAAGAGCTTCTTCTGGTAATTTTTCCAGATTGCTAAAAGTAATATCCTTAGTATATCAAAGTTGACTAAAGTTAACTTGCTAAAGGATTTTAAAAATTTGTCCAGCATATTTTAGTGTTCTGGCAGTTTATCTGGGTCCTAAGGAGTCTATAAGCATAGTCTTTATTCATTTGGTTCTTTCTTCTATATAGCTTTCTTTCAACTGTTTAAGATAATAACATGCTTCTAAGGTTCAAATATGGTTACTTCTCTGTTTATGATTTTTTTTGCAATTTAGTCTGCAAATAATTTTAAAAAGTTTTCCTTTGAAAGTGTTTGCAGCTAGTGGGTTTAGCTGTATAAAAGCCTTTTCTGATTCTTGAGTTAAGTCTTCCATTAGCTTTCTAACAGATTCATTTTGGGCTGTTATCACTTTTTCTATTTCTTCTGTTAGTAAAGTATCTGGTTCTCTGGCTAGATAAACTAGGTTATCTATTTCTACTAGGGTTTCATTTGTCATCATAATATCCTGGTTTTCTGGTTCAGAAAACTGTAATGAGAGAATAATATCTGTTCTATTAGTTATTGCAACTTGATTGTTTGTAATAACTAAGCTATTGTTTTGGGATAAGGAGTCATTGTTCCAATAATTAACAAGATTACTTAAAGCAGCAAAAGTGTGGGGTTAGAGTTGGGTTTTCATTTTTGTACGGTAGTAACTAAATGTCTGAATTTAGAAAAAAAATAAAAAGTAATAAAGGGGCTATATATAGATATTTCTCTGTAACACTTAATAAATTAATATGCTACAAAAAAAAAATTAATGTTTAACAATTCCTTTCATGGCTAATGAAAGAAATTTTTCCGAAATTCTAAGTTTCTATTACAACTTGAGGTTGCCAAGTTTGTTTCTCAAAGTATTTTGCTAAACGGTCACTATTATAGTATTTAGCAAGTATCTTTCCTTCTAATTTCGAAGTTTATATACTCCGTTGTTTAACTTCGTCTATATCAAAAAGGTCTAATTCATTTTTTTTCAAATTTTGCTGAGCAAGAGGCTTCTATATCTTTTCTCTGAATCCAAACTTTGTCTCCTATTTCAAATTCTTCAACCTGTACTTTCGAGTCAAATCATACTTTCTGTTTCTTTTGCAATTTTTCTGTATTCTTTTGAGTATTGGCTTGTTGATAGGGTAATTCATCAATTAGTTCAAATGCTTATTGTAAGATACTGTCTTCTAAACCAATTTCATTATTACTTTCTGGGTCTTCTACTGGAATTGCAATTTCAATAAGTAATATGGCTTGTCGTCTATAAACCAATTGGAAAGGGGTATATCTGGTTGTAGCATGTCTTTTCGTTCGATAAGTGAATAGCGCAGCAGCGATATTTTTATCCCAGTCTTGGTCCTTTTTAGTTACTTTTGCAAGTGAGTTACAAAGTGTCCGGTTAAGTCTTTCTACTATTCCATTTGTCTGAGAGTGATAAGGCGATAAGAATATATGTTTGATTAAGAACTTTTCACATAATATTCTAACTGTTTCACTTATAAAGTTTTTTTTATTATCTGATAGTATCATCTTGGGTACACCATGTCTACAAATGATTTCTTTGAATATGAATTTTGCGAGCATTTCTGCTCCAGCATCTGGGACTACTTTGGCTTTAGGCCAGCGTGTTAAATAGTCTGTTGCAACTATTATATATCGATTGTTCTGAGTTGTTATTGAAAGAGGTCCAACTAAATCTATGCTATTCATTCAAAGGCTCTTCCAACTTGAATAGGGTGGAGAGGTTCTTTTCATTTCCCTTTTCCTCTTTTCTGACAGGTTTCACATAACTTTACATAGTTCTGTATATCTCTATATATCTGATCCCAATAATATCGTTCAGCTATTTTGTAATACATTGTATCTGTTTCTAAATATCCAGCAGTTGAATGACTATGCATCATATATAGTATAGATTCAACTTCTGTCCATTTGATTACTCTAATAGCTGGGTCTTTTTGGTTTTTCTTATATAATATTTTGTTTTTAAGTTCATAGAATCTAGATCATTTAACAATTATCTGTTTTTCATTATCAGTTAGGCAGGAAGTAATTCATCTATTTCTAAATATTTTACTAAATGTTGGTATTAATCCAAATTCATATAACTAATTTATTGGGTAAATAGGTCTGCGTCTGTAATCAAGAGAGGGTGTTTACATTTGAGTGAACTTGTCCAGGGTTGTGAATGATTGTGAAATTGTATAGCTAGAGTTTCAATAGCCATCTGCCTATCCATCCTTTAGGCTGAGAGGATTTCATCCATTTAAGAGCAGAGTGGTCTGTGATTAATGTAAAGTGGTTTGTATCAAGATACTTATGAAAATATTCAATTGTCTATACTATGGCAGCACATTCTAGTTCTGTGGTAGCATAGTTGACTTCTTCTTTTCTAAGACTCTTGCTAGCATAAGCAATAGGGTGTTCCTTTTTGTCTTTGGAAAATTGGCTCAAGGTCATGCCATATCCATGGTAGGAGGCATCTGTAGCAAGGATAAATTCTTTATAATAATCTGGATAGATTAAAATAGATGCAGTAGTAAGTCATTGCTTTAATTCATCAAAGGCTTGTTGGCAATCTTCTTTCTATTCATAAGTGATATCTTTTTGTAATAGCTGGTTAAGAGGCTAGGCAATCGAAGAAAAGTTTCGAATAAATCTTCGATAGTATCTGGCAAGTTCTAAGAATGATCATAACTAGATTACATTCTTCGGTAGAGTAATATTTTGTACAGCTATTATTTTGTCTAGGTCAGGCGAGATTCCTTTTTCTTCTATTATGTGTCTTAAGAAAGGTAATCACTTCATCTAAAAATTACACTTTTCTAAGTTAAGCTTAAATCCAACTTTTCTAATTCTAGAAAAAACTTCATGCAAATGCTTTAGGTGATCATTGCATATCTTTGAAAATATATTGGTATTGTCTAGATATACAACAACATACTTATATGCTATTCCTTTATAAATATAATTCATTAATCTTTGAAAAGTTGCAAAGTCCAAATGGTATGACATTAAACTCATATATGCCATATCTCATAATGAAAGCTGTCTTTTCTTGGTCAGAGGGGTTTATTTCTACTTGCCAATATCCACTTATGAGGTCAAGGGTGGAGAAGTATTTGGCCCTGCTAATGAATCTAGCATTTCATTGATTTGTGAAAGGGGGTATAAATCTTTCTCTGTTATTGCTTTAAGCTTCCTATAATCTACACAGAATTGCTTCTTTCCATTTTTTTTCGTTACTAACACAACAGGAGATGCTCACAGGCTGGTTGATTCTCAAATTAAATTGTTGTCTAGCATTCTCTGTATCTCTTCATTAATAATTTTCTGTTCAGTAAGAGGTACCATATAGGTTCTTAAACTAATAGAGGGTACATCTTCAATATACATTCTGTGGGTCACAATATCTGTTCGTTCTAGCTGAGTTATATTCTTTGCAAAAAGATCTGCAAATTCTAAGAGTAGTTCTCAAAATCGTAATCCTTGGTCTGGGGTTAATGTTTCTGTTTTTGGGGTCATATCTGAGATCAATATAAAAATTTCTCTGTGTCTAAGATTATTACATAGGGCTATTTGAATAGCTTCAGTCTCTGTAAGGAGGCCATCTGAATTATTAAGTAGTTTTTCATCATGCTTGGGATAGTCTAAAAATTTATAGTACTATCACTAGAAGGGGTAGGAGATTGGTTATCCTCAACATGAAAAGTACTATAACAATTTGCTATTTGCTGATGAAATTGTTCAAATCTTTGAATTCTAGCTTGGAGGTCTGCAATAGTTTGGGCTTGGAATTCATATGTTTGGATTTGTGATTGCAACAAAGTTATAGTCTGGGCCTGTTGTTCAACTTGTCGACAGAGAAGTCAAATCAGTTCTTGAGTATCAGGCTCTGACTCTCTGGCTAGAGGAGAAGAGTATCGTTCAGTATGGTACTCTAGGCATAATCCTTCTATTAGGTCAGTCTTGGCTTTAACCATTAAGCATTTATTACAAAGGACAGCAGTTCTAGCAAAATTGCAGTGCAAATTTATCATAGCTTGTCATTGGTCAAAGTCTGGATTGCTAATGTCAAAGAATTCAGCAAGGATTCATTGCAATTGTTTTTCCTTATCACAAGTTAATTGGTCATCTGGGGCTCGTAAGATGATAAAGATATCAGCATCTGAGTAATCCTGATTAGATCGGTCTGTTTTTCAGAGTACTAAAGCTTGAGCAATAGTTTCATCACTTTCATCTAGTTGGATAGTAGCTAGTTGGTATATGCAGCTTTGGTTGAGCTTATAAGCATGTCCGGCATTTCTAGTCGATTCTGTATAGTATCTAACTCTAAGCCATAGGTTGTAGTCAGGGTTCCATTTAACATCTCAAGTGGCTTTGTATGTATATAGGTGTTCTAGATCACAGAACCAAGAGTCTTCACTGATAGTGTCTAACTTATATATTCTGGATCGAATTCCTTCTTCTCACATAGCTTGCAAGAAACTAACATTCCTCTTCCTTCACTATTGATAAAGTATTCGATACTGGTTGGATCTGTTCTGTCTAGTTCATGGTGTAGTTAGTCCAACATGCTTTACAAACTAAGATTTGGTTAAGAAGATAGAGGTCACAGGGCTTTTGTGGTTCCTTGCATTCACAACAATGGTGGGTATGTCGTTGAATATATGGATCGGTTGGTATTAACTTCATCTTGGCTACATCCATACTGGTAGGATTGATTGTTTCTTTTTAAAGGGGCCAAAGGGCAATTTACACCAATATGTCACATCTTTCCGCATTGATAACAATGGTTCTGGGGGCAGTCTTTATAAAAATGACAGGTTGGAAACAGGTCCTGCAATTTTCTTTTTTGGAAGTTGTTTAGGACAATAAGCAGAAATATGTCCTTATTGCAGGCATCAGTGATATTGGTTGGTAGGGCAGTCAGCAAAGAGGTGGTCTGGTGAATTGCAGTTCCTACAACATCATATATTTTGGGTTGGTCTAGATCTTGGTGCAACAATGTTCTGTAGATTTTCGTCTGGAGTCATTTCGTGTGCAAGAGTGAAGGCTTCTTTGGGTGTCAGATACTCTTGTTTATATTGGTCCAATTCTCTGTTATCAGTAATAGTTGGTTGAGCTGGTAGCGGCTAGTCTTGTTCATAGGTGGTAGGGACATGAATCTTTTTATTTTTCCACTTTAGGGTATAGGCCTTATTCTTCCAATTGTAGGTAGCATCAACCTTTTGGAACCAATCATTTCCTAGGAGTAGTAAATAAGAGAAGGCAGAGATTACTTCAACATCCAAAGGAATAGTAACTCCTTCAATTTCAATTGGGAGATCTTTGATTATTTCTAAGAGTCTAACAGAGGGTCTAGTAGCAGATATGATGAGGCTAGTAGAGGGGCTTCAATTTTGAGTCCTAACTCTCTTATGACTTTATAAGAAATCATACTAATAGAAGCACCACTGTTTATAATAGCTTGATAGAGTCTTTTTTTAAGCTTGAAGTTGCACTTGATGGGTGTTGTTTGAATCTGGGTCTGTGCAAGGTTAATAGTTTTTGATTCTTCAACCATAAATTCAGCTACAGCCGCACGAATAGATTTGTTGGCTAGAAAGCCTTCGAATTGTTCATTGGTGTAGTCATTTGCTATATCTAGAGTATAAGTTTCTCGAGGATAGAGAGTGAAGGGTTTACTATAGGATCTATATGATTGTTCAGGAGTATAGGATCTATAGTTACTAGATCGATAATGGTCTCGGGACTGGCTTTGACTTCTAGACTGATTGTAGGTACTCTGATTATTGTAGCTAGGTTTGTAACTGTCTCTGAATCGACTTCTGTTTCATGGGTTTGATCTGTCACATAAGTACCTATTGCTAGAGTGATAGTCTCTTGGGGAGGTATCTCAGTGAGAAGAACCTCGTTTTTCATTTTCTTGGCGAAGTCTGCAATCTTTATTAAAATGTTCCCGGTTGCCACAGTAGCAGCAGGTAAAATCTTGAGTAGAGGCTAATCAAGAGGGGTTGTTGGAGTTCTTAGCACTGGTCGAAATCAAAAATATAAACCAAATATCATCAAACAATCATCTAATCGATAGCTGGCCGATAGTTTGGTGGTTGCTATAAGATTAGAAGGAAGTAAAAATAAGCCGATATATTTAAGATAGTTGTAAAATTTGTTACATCTCGGATAATAATCAGTAAAAAATATCAAAATATCATCTAATAAATAATAATATCATAAAGAA